AGGTGTATTAGTGTCCCGGTTATTGATGACGTGTCTGCTTACAGAGCCGACCTGGGACTACTGTGATGGGAGTCGAGTCAGTCTACCCGAGGCAGCCAGTCTCCATACTGTGAAGTTTGCTGCAGCTGTTGTGACGTTGTCCCCCCGGAAGAACACTGTGGTGTGTTAGCCTGCCAGTGGAGTGGCAGTAAAAGGATTTACCCGGGACCGACTGTTGGAGACGATCATCCACTGGGGTACTGAAGACAGGAGGGTGATTTGTGATATCACACGAGACTCCTGTCTAGGGCGTACCCCTTATATCGTTCGTGGAGTGGCCGTACCAGCCTTGGTGGCTCAGTACCTGCCAGCAGACCAGCTGGACGTGTGGTTGACGGCCTCCACGACGGTGCCCCCAGTGGACCTGCGTTTTGGCTGACCTGTGGCCCGGGTAGGCTCGGCATTCTCAGAGGACACGTCGTGAGGCCACGAAGAAAGCACCAAGGACTCGGCACCAAGTGGTGTGGCACCAGCGTCTTCAGCAGAAGACCACGATTATGGATTAATCCCCTTGTATAGTGTTAATACCCCCCCCCCCCCCTTGTGTAACCGTTTTATATATTATTTATTGGTGACGGACATTATATTATATTAAGTTCTTAGCTTTCTTTCCCTACTCCCTTTAAGTTACTTGCGTCACGGATCTCATCCCTTGATAGCCACTACTGGCTTGGGAACGGATACATATATCTTCCTCTAACAACATCAGAGCAAGAACCCCGTTGCATCCCGAGAGGGCCGTAACAACACCAAGTACAGGATCCTGTCCTATGAATCTCATCACTGCCTCTATTTCTATCTTTTGGGGGGTATGATATCCTATTTCTGGTCTCATCTTTATTAAATTTAACGGAAAAGATGGAAAGCTCTCCTCCATATGATCAATTAAACTCCAATGTTCATCTTCTTCCGTTTTAGGGTGAATAATACTAAGCTCTTTCACAGTCTTACTATTTACCTGCTGCTGCAGTTCATCCTGGCTCATTATAGTATACACTTCTCGCTCTTCAGAATTTAACTTATTAATAAACCAGTTCGCAGCATTTGGAGAACCAATTTCATCCACAAATTTTCTTATAAAAAATTTATCCTTTAAGTTACATCCTATAGGCACTTCTTCAAATTCTGGAAATATGTATTTTAAACGGGGTCTAGGTCTAAAAGTGCAAATTATTTTATCACCTTTAAATAACAAAGAAATTTTCTTCATCTCAGCCTTACTAGGAATTTTCGTCAACAACAACACTTGACAATTCTCATGTTTCTTGAGTACGTCTGTAACACTCTCTTTTAAGCTAAATAAGACTATGTTACATTTTATCAATGGAAGTTCTTCTTTCAACTTTATAGAATCACGACCGATCAGTATCATTAAAACATTTTCACTTTTGCTAATAAACTTTGCTAGAGCCGAAACAATGTTCTCATGCGTACATTTATCAGTATGGGTCATCACTTTATAAGTCTGTTTTTCTGCCAGGGGCATATTCCTCCACAAAACAGTCGAAGCTGGACTTTGCCATATAGTATCTGACACAAGATCAGGCATACTTCCAAACCCTGGTAGACTCTTCACATCCATCACATTGGGTAAATCTTTAAACAAAAGAAAAAAACAATATTTAACCCAGGGACTATTAAATAATCATAATATTTCAAAACTAAAAGATATTCAATAATAAGCAAAAATTATATCACAACAAATATAAACAAGTACTGTAAGTACATCATACAATAAGCACTTACTGTATACAGCAGCCATCGATCCGAGTATGTCTTCTCACTGCAGGACCAAGATGGGGAGTTTATGGTAAGACATATCCCGACCTAGCTTATCACATCGGAGATAGTTACGCTCCGCCCCTCTCTCTTAGCTGTAGTTTCCAAATTAGTTATATGTATTATTTTAGATCTACTAGTTTTAACTAAGACATTCTCTTCCGTTTATTAGATCCACCCTCTACTTGTTTCTTCTCTCTCCCAGTCCCCGTAACATCTTCTCCAAGAGGTATACGAACCATTAATAATTCTTTTTTATTATTCTTTAAAACATAAGCTAAATGGGCTAGTCCTGGAAAATAGTGTGTCTCTCATTCTTCTTGTTCTTCTTTACTCCATCCTATTCCGTCATTAAACCCAATACCATATGGAATAATTATACGCTGGATTAAATTATTATTTCTTGCTTGACAACAAATTTGTCTTATTGCAGATTTAAAACTCCAACGTTTAATAATATCTTTCTGTAATCCTAGATCTTCATTAGAGCTACTGTATTGAAGTCCTATAATATGAGGTTTTATTTCTGGTTCTGGAGATAAAGCAAGTACTATACCACCAGGAGTTATATTATTCTGTACCACTTCACACTCGGAAACTTTACTGTAAGGATATTTTTCCCATAACAGTTGTGCAAATCCGCCAGATAAATTATGAGAATCGTAGACAAGACAGTCTCCAGGTTTTAGAATTTCATCACTAGTAAAATCAGCATCTATAATACACTTATTTAAACGCTTAAGCTTCACTTGCATGTACATAGAACAATCCATCTTGAAGTAAGGCAGAAAAAGTTTCGTACCTCTTCCTATATACTCAGAAAAGTAGAGTTGACATTTAGACATTAAAAAAGGGAGAAAATAAACACACGAGTTTCTATTTTGTTATTTAATGTGTAAAAATGTACAATGTATTTAATTTGTAAAAATGTACAAAGTATGAATTATTTACAGACATTATTATTCCCAATCCATCTTCTCTTCTAAATTTGTAAAACTACTACTAACACACATTGTAACATTAGTATCAACAGACGTAGTAACATTAACAGGTGTTGAATTAATTGTATCAGACAACTTAGTGTTGATAGAAGGTGAAGTAGCATCAGCGGTAGCAGGCGTAGCATCATCTGCAGGTGTCCTAGCAGCATCAGTAGCATTAGTTGTGGGTCCATTTTGAAGAACAGCAATGTATGGAATCTTATTTTCAAAGATGCCGTGGGTGGATGACTGAGGAGGAACGATGTTTTCGGGACGTACTATGAAGAGTACAATACCTCGTTTTCGTAGTTTTTGTCCTATTTTCTCAAGTATAGGCAAATATTTACTTTCCCATACTGCGCAGTTGTCCAAATAACTTGACATGCCAAACCCATATGAAATAATAATTCTCTTAACACATCTTTTAAGAATGTAAACAAGGGCTTCCTTCAGAGCATTTTCGAACCAGCGCCATCTCTGATATTCTGTATCTTTTTCAAGTCCATCGTAAAAATGTTCATCTAAACTTCGTACTTCACACGGAGGATTTTCATATGCTGGTAAAGTTGCAGGTCTACTAGCAAACTGAGTCACTAATCCAATAATAAGGGGTAGATGGGGATCTTCATCCATCCGGTTGTTAAATTCAGGTGGTTCTCCAATATGTATACTGCCAGGGTTACTGCGATAAGATACAACAGCCCGGTTTTTGTAAGGAAAGTTTTCACGATATAATCTTGCATATGGGTAACGATCCCACAATCCTTGCACAATTTTACACATTTGTACACTCGTAGCATCATGATCATACAATAAACGGTCGTGATTATTGTAGACAGACAGGGAGGCAAAGTCTCCAATAATAGTCTTGATCTCCATAGCCTTGAATATCCATGCTTGAAGTAGATTCTGACATCCAAGAAGAGGAGGATACCGTAAGAGATCACTCCGGGGAAGCATATATACATCTTTAGGCTGCGCGTAGAAACACTGCGCACACAAAGGGTTGCCAAGTGTTACTTGCTCTTCCTCTGCATAATCTCCTCGTTAAACAGTAATTTAACTTCCACTCCGTAGGGTTTTAACTGTTTATACATATCTTCAATAACAGGAAGATAAGTATTTTCCCAAACTTTATCTCTTCGAACACAGGTAATCCCAATTCCTGTTGGTATTATAACTCTCATAATTTGAGGAGAGTCCTTGATAAAGTTAAATAAATCTTTCATACCATTCTTGAAGTAGACGAGACGATTAATGGATGTATCTTCGTTTAATCCAGCGAGCATGTTTCTGTCTTTTGATTTTTCTATAATTCCCTGAGCAATGTTATTACTTTCTATAGGTAATCCAATACCGTATTGAGTGGCTATAGCAACAATATACGGAAGATTTTCTCCTTTAGAGATATGAATTGATCCTGGTACTGGACGATCTTCAGGGATACATCTCTTAATACTGTACAAGGGTCGGCGAACATTATAAGCGTCAGCATGAGAATATTTCTTGGCAAAGTCTAGGGCCATTCCTCGGGGAACACAGGATATACAGTTCACTCCGTACACAATACAGGTTTCATTATTAAGAAATGAATCGTCGGTTAAATAACCCTGATTAGTTGTCAGAACAGTATCCATGATGAATTTTCTTCCTCGTAAGGTAGTAGATACGATCCAGATAGTCGTAATAATATTCCTAATGTGAGGTCCGCGCTCTTATATTGGGGGAATGTAAAAGTTACCACTTATTTGAATATATTAATAAGGATTTTTGTTACCCTAGAATATTATTATATATGACATTATAACTAATAGTATATTTCATTTTAGGATATAGATGCTTTAAGCATATTTTTTTTTTTAATTAGATTAAATAAGAATTTTCTACTAAATTATATATAAATCTATCATTATGTATGGCAGCTACGAATAATGACGTAACAGTATACTTCTAGCAAGATTGCCAAAGTGATGTATTTTTCTAATAAGTCTAATAAATAATGAACGTAGTTTACTAAGTATTTATATAAGAGCTTTATTTAATTATGAAACTTTAAGGATTTTTTAATAGAGAAGTATTTAGAGGAAATTACTGTCTATTATAAATGGGGAAACTGTTAAATATGTAGCGATGTACGATACTTATTTTAGGGATATATATACTTGCTTATCCTACTCTAATAGTTAGTGCTGCCCTCACACGATGGATCCTTTGTGTGCCAGGAAGTTTTACAGTATAGAAAGCCTTAAATGTGCAGGAGTTAGACTACAAACATTTGTGGATTGGCCTGTTAAGTGGCTAAACCCTATTGACTTAGTTGAAGATGGGTTCTATTACCTCCGCAATAGTGATTACTGTTTGTGTGCATTTTGTTATTGTATAGTAGGTGCATGGATTGTTGGTGATACCCCCAGAAGACGTCATAAGATGATTAATCAAGACTGTGCCTTTATTAGAGGCAAGAGGAGTGACAATGTTTCTTTAGAGGTGTCTGAGATAGCTTTCAAATACGGACTGGAATTTGTTTCCCACAAAATAGAACTGGGAAATAAGAAAATAAGTGATAGTAGTAAGTATATATTCTTATGATGTATTATTATGCCAGTCTTATATACTCTGTACAAAACTTGATTGCTTAAATAGATAGATACTTCTTATTCTTCTAAAGAATAATTTACATAACTACGTTATATTTTTTAGGTGGTGCTCCTCCCAAGGAAGATCTGGGATTGATAAAATTTAGGAAATCGCTGAATCCAGGATTGGTAACTTATAAACGTCGCCTAGAGACATTTGATATGACATGGCCTGGAAGTGTTAAGCAAACTTCTCATGAGCTGGCAGAAGCTGGGTTTTTTTACTGTGGTATGAAGTGTTTTAACTATTTTAAACTTATTAGAGTTATAAGTAAAGGAATAATGAATATTAGTTAAAAGATAGTAACGAGATGATGCTGGATTGTTTTATGGTTTTCAGGTATAAGTGACCACGTCTGCTGCTATCACTGCGCCTGTGGAATACGAAATTGGAGACCAGAAGATGATCCTTGGACGTTACATGCGAGATGTAGTCCAGAATGTGCTTACATTATTCTTGCAAGGGGCAAGGAATTTGTTAAGAATGCTAGATTGACAATACCATTACCTATAAAACCTATAGACAATGATTTAATTAATATCCTAATGGAGGATATGGATAAGTTCAAACATCTGATTAGTCCAAAATTAATACCTGTTGAGAGTATAAGATATGCTTTAAGTGAGTGCCTTAAGGAATCCAGAGATTTATTACCTTTTATTATACAAAGTAGATGTCTAGAAATAGTGTTGAGGTATATGCAAGAGGGTACAGATATTTATTTACGGGTACGGGACTTAATTTATGAAGCAGTTGATGATAAAGAGGAACAAGAAGTTACGCCTGAAGATCTGGGATTGAAAACTTTACCGGAGACTTGTAATAGCACTGTTGAAAACAAGGACTGTACAGAACAATCTTGAACACTTATGATTTCTTGAATAATTGCATAACTACTATGAATAACTGTATATGATTTTCTTGAACACTTGTATAACTACTAAGAATAACTGTATGCGTTAAATGTTGAAATAAACTCAATGTCTCTTCTAAATAAGATTTCTCTATCCTTAATAGAATAATTTGCTTATTACATTGGAGGACTGAAACAAGTACTTAATTATGCAACCGAATAATGACATGATGTAGTAAGTTTAACGGAAATATTGAATACAATGACTTGAAAAGTTTTCCTTTGACTAATGAAGGTGTATGTTTAATAAAACTGAGTTACGAAAACAATGCCTTAAGATGCTACTGTAAGTAATGACTTAGTGCACAGGCAAGTATCTTTAATTGTACGAAGATGTCTTAGAATGATTTATATTGACCTTATTTTTAAAAAATGGATAACTACTAATGCTCTGTAGTAACTCACTGTGAATTAGTAATGTTACTGTTGTTGTTGTTGTTAATAACGATGATCTACTTACTTACTAAAATGACAGAAACAACTAGTTTTGCGAATTAGTACAGAGATGAATAGAGAATATGTAGTGGACTGTAATGAACGGGTAAGAACATGTAGCGGAGGGATGGAGGAAAATTGTAGGAAAGGGTTGAAAGTTGGGTGGGGGAACATGTTGGGATGTGTAAAGGATTGAGAGATTGTAAGGGATGGTATCAAGATGTGCGGAAAACATGCTACAACATGTAAAGTAGAAATAGCGTAGTGAGTTGGGCGGTGAACACGCTAGGACTTGTAATGGATGGAAGGAGTTGGGTATATTTACATATGACTCATGTTTAAATAAGATAGGGGACACAGTAATAGTTGTTTAAGTCTTGTATAAAATGGAAAGAACTAGAGAATATGTAAGACTAAGTACAGATCTGATCTGAACTTACAGAGAATATGCTATAAACGGGGAAAGAATGCAAATTAACAGCTACATTTAAATTTATGAGACTTGGATGAGACGGAGGAATGTGAGAGGGGATGAAAGATAATTACACAGGTTGGGGTTATCCGAGTACTCACATAAGAGTTAGGCTGGAGACGGACTTGATTAAATATATTTATGTCTGATGATCTAAGGCTGAGGAAATGGAGCTTGGCTAATGTCCAGATTAATTTTACTACGTTAGAAATAAGGTGATCTTAAATCTCAGGGTGATTTAGTTGGAAAAATAAAGAACTTGTACAAAATGAACTAAGCTGGGGGGGGGGACAAGAGTTGAAACTTGATAACTGAACTGTTTTTATTTACTATGTCTGAAAATGTAGTTGGGTGTTTAAATCTCTGGGGAATTTGGACTGATAGTAATGAATTTACAGGAGTGAACTTGGACGGAGGACAAGAGCTAGAGTTTTATAATTGTTTACATCATATTTACTATGTCTGAAATACAGAGGGTAAAAATTTCAGGGAAATTGATGGGTTATTTACAAAGATACGAGAGAGAACTAAGATAGGGACGAGAGCTGGAGCTCGTTAACTGTTTTGATCTTATTTACGGTGTCTGAAATACAGAGGGTAAAAATTTCAGGGAAATTGATGGGTTATTTACAAAGATACGAAAGAGAACTAAGGTGGGGACGAGAGCTAGAGTTTTATAATTTTTACATCATATTTACTATGTCTGAAATACAGAGGGTAAAAATTTCAGGGGAATTGATGGGTTATTTACAAATATACGAGAGAGAACTAAGTTGGGGGACGAGAGCTGGAGCTCAGTAACTGACTTGATCTTATTTACTAACTTTGAAGTATGTCTGCTTTAAATTTCGGGGAAAATTGGTCTGTTACTAACGATCTTGTACAAATGAACTAAGCTGGGGACAAGAGCTAGAGTTTGATAATTGTTTGGATTTACTAAACTACGTCTGAAATACAGAGGGTAGAAATTTCAGGGAATTTGATTAGATATTAACGAAGATGTGCGAGGGAACTAAGGTGGAGGACAAGAGCTGGAGCTCGGTAACTAAATTACTGTATTGAACTACGTTTGAAATATAATTATTTTTTAATTTTAGAGGGATTGGACTGTTAGTAATCATTATACGACAGGGGACTAAGGCGGGGATAGGAGCTGGAGCTCGATACCAAATTATTGTATTTTAATACGTTTGAAATAGCTGTGTTTTAAATCTCGAAGAAAATGATTGGATACTAAAGAAGATGTATTAGTAAAACTAGTCCCTGACTTTGTTTATATATGTAAAACTGAATAGTTTAATGAAAAGAACTATGAATGAACAATATGAAGGAGAGAGAGAGAGAGAGGGACGGTCCAGATATTATGGAGAAGATAAGATAAGATTAGATAAGAGGTGACCTGCACGAGGCGTCTGGCTGACCGGCGTAAGGTAAATACAGCTGACGCGAGAGATTGTGAGGTAAGGGGGGAGGGAGGGGGGGTGAGGTACGAGCGGGAGATGATGGGGGACAGCTGTGAAATGATTCAGATATACTAGTTTCTAAGTAAGAATCCCATGACAACTCTTAACAAAACTCGTATGACATTATTTCATGATAAGAACTTTTAACAAACTTCTAAAGTCTCGGAAATTATTTTTATCATAAGAACTTTAACAAACTTCTAAGTCTCGGAAATTATTTTCATCATAAGAACTTTTAACAAAATTCTATAATCTCAGAAATTACTCACTCATAAGAATTCCTTACTTCTAAAATCTGTGACTAGCCAAATTCACCTGAAAACCCCGAAGCGCTACACACGAATTTGAATTTCACCCATAAGAACTTTAACAAACTCGTATGACATTATTTTCGTCATATGAACTCTTAACAAACTTCTATAATCTCAGAAATTACTCACTCATAAGAAATCCTTAATCCCAAATCTGTACCTCTCCAAATTCACCAAGAAACCCTAAAGCGCTACACACGAATTTCCAAATTCACCTGAAACCCCCGAAGCGCTACACACGAATTTCCAGAAAAAAACAAAAATTCGTCTGTGGCGCTTACCCTGGAAACACAAACCGAAACTGTCTCTATTTTTCCGCTTGTTACAACTTGTAATAAAGTTGTTACATCTTGGCTTAACGTGTTTATGACGTATTAGAACGTTGTTACAACTTGCTATATTGGTTGTTATAACTGGTTAGGAGGTGTTAAAACTTGTTCGAACGTTGTACCAACGTCGTAGTTTCGGTGTGTGTTTGGCGGGTACCCCCTACTACTCCTGTGGGTGGTAGTGGACCCATTACCGACCTTGTGGGCGGCAGTGGACCCCCTACCGACCCTGTGGGCGGTAGTGGACCCCTTATCGACCCTGTGGGCGGTAGTGGACCCCCTACCGACCCTGTGGGCGATAGTGGACCCCCTACCGACCCTCTGGGCGGTAGTGGACCCCCTACCGACCCTGTGGGCGGCAGTGGACCCCCTACCGACCCTGTGGGCGGTAGTGGACCCCTTATCGACCCTGTGGGCGGTAGTGGACCCCCTACCGACCCTGTGGGCGATAGTGGACCCCCTACCGACCCTCTGGGCGGTAGTGGACCACCCTACCGACCCTGTGGGCGGTAGTGGACCCCCTACCGACCCTGTGGGCGGTAGTGGACCCCCTACCGACCCTCTGGGCGGTAGTGGAACCCCTACCGACCCTGTGGGCGGTAGTGGACCCCCTACCGACCCTCTGGGCGGTAGTGGACCCCCTACCGACCCTCTGGGCGGTAGTGGACCCCTACCGACCCTGTGGGCGGCAGTGGACCCCCTACCGACCCTGTGGGCGGCAGTGGACCCCCTACCGACCCTGTGGGCGGTAGTGGACCCCCTACCGACCCTGTGGGCGATAGTGGACCCCCTACCGACCCTCTGGGCGGTAGTGGACCCCCTACCGACCCTGTGGGCGGCAGTGGACCCCCTACCGACCCTGTGGGCGGTAGTGGACCCCTTATCAACCCTGTGGGCGGTAGTGTACCACCCTACCGACCCTGTGGGCGGTAGTGGACCCCCTACCGACCCTGTGGGCGGTAGTGGACCCCCTACCGACCCTGTGGGCGGTAGTGGACCCCCTACCGACCCTGTGGGCGGTAGTGGACCCCCTACCGACCCTCTGGGCGGTAGTGGACCCCCTACCGACCCTGTGGGCGGTAGTGGACCCCCTACCGACCCTGTGGGCGGCAGTGGACCCCCTACCAACCCTGTGGGCGGTAGTGGACCCCCTACCGACCCTGTGGGCGGCAGTGGACCCCCTACCGACCCTCTGGGCGGTAGTGGACCCACTACCGACCCTCTGGGCGGTAGTGGACCCCCTACCGACCCTGTGGGTGGTAGTGGACCCCATACTGAACTTGTGGGCGGTAGTGGACCCCCTAC